GATCAGTATTTTAAATAAAGCAGCTTTTTATATTCCTGTTGTTTGAATATGCATGCTACTTTTGCTGCACTTATACAGGCCTGCAAACTGAGGACCATGCAAATGCACAGATGTGCCTAGCAGTTCTTAGGCACAATTGTTACTGTATATCTGTCTGGTACTGGGTGAGGACTGGTTCTCCTCTTGGGCTGTCACGTTATGGCCTGCAGACATGGAAGACAACTATGTGTATTAATAATTAGACTGTTCTAGTTTATAGTTACAGTGACCACACAGCCTTTACTTCAGAAAGCTGTCCTTTAGATTTATTTAATTTAATTATTTGTTTTCTTGGTTTTGCTCTTGAATTTTCCTTTGTAAAGCTAAGTTATAATTATTTTTTTTCATCCTTATGAACCTTTCAGATCTGCCTCTTCTTCATGTTTGTCCTTTATTTTTTCTGAGAAAATATGGTCACTGTATTTATAGTTTATATCGGATGGGAAGCTTGTCTGCAGCTGGTGGCATGGCCAAATTTTGAGAGCACAGTGAAAAAAAAAGGGACTAAAATTAAATATAAAGAAAACCAAACAAGTAGAACAACCAGCCTTAGAATTGACAGTTAAGATATCGGAGTGGAGAATAGCTTCTGCCTTTTAGGATCAAGGCACAAATGACTAGGCTCAAATTATCCTACTTTGGATGCATTATGTGAAGACCCAGCTCTCCGGAAAAGGCTCTGATGCTGGGAAAGGTGGAAGGAAAGAGAAGAAGAGGATGACCAGCAGCAAGGGGGAGAGTCTCAGTTACAGGGGCGATGAGTGAACTGCTGGAAGTCCTGAAAGACCAGGTTAGGGATAGATCATCATGGAGAAAATCTATCTATGTGGTTGCTAGGAGTCGAAAACGTCTCAATGGCACATAATCAATCAGTCAATCAACGTGTATCAATATCTTCACACATCTTATTACATCATGGTTTGTTTAATCACAGTTTATTCATTAAATCCCATTTCTGGATTCACACAGCATATTAAACCAGAAACCATGGCGTTCAGACCACAACAGCTCTGGTTATACATTAAGACAAACCACATCATGGATTAATTCATGTCCTGTGAATCTGGCCAAACATACTTCCTTATTAAAGGAGGTTGGTGCTCTTTATACATATCTGAGCTGCAATCTTGGAAAGTTACTCCGTAAACTTTCAAATCTCTCACTCCCGGGACACAAGAGCTTATCAGTGATTTTCAGGTTGCGCCTTACTCGTTTTAATGCACTGAAGAAGTGGGGCAGGGGTGTCAAAAGGCAAGTCCTCCTCTCCTCCTCTCCCCCCACCCCTCCATTCAAACCAAAGTCTCAAAGCAGCAGTCCAAAGCCGCCAGTTGGTTCAACTTCCTGTCTCCTGGGGACAGGTCAGGCCAAGTTAAGTGATTTAACTTTCTAGAAGTGTTAAGTTCCCTTTCTTTTTCTTTAGATTTTTGTTTTGTCCCCCCCTCCCACTTAGGCTTAAAGAAAATGTGGGTGTTTCTCCAACCTCCCTCCTCCTTTCTAGTTTAATTCTCCAAGAATGCAGAAGGATGTGTTACCCCAAGGCGCCTAACTTTAATCACAAGGTTTAAAAAAAAAAAGTTGTGAAAGTCCTGTACTGGTGTGGGAAGGGGGGGGGGGACAGCCCTTCTAGGATGCTAATTAGCTCTGGAGTTAAGCTTCTGACAAATCCAGTTGAAATCAATGCCAGATGGGAAACACACACATCCAGGAATGCAGGTAGAAGAATGGAATGGAGGTGGATGAATGGCTTTTGGGATTATGCAACCTCTCCCCTGCTCTCCAGCAGATAGGTAGTGGGAGAGAAAGAACCCTTAATCAGAGACCATAGAAAATTGCATTGTGGCCTGGCTTTTTAGAATCTCTGCCTCGGTTTTCACTATCAGCAGGACTATCCTCTCCTTAAGGAGAAGAAGGAAGAAAGAACCAGTCAGGACAGACGGACAAACAAACACCATGCTGGGGTATTGAGGGCATCTTGGTGGGGAAATGGATTAGAACAGGTCCCTCAGCTCTCCTAATCTCTGCCAAAATATAACCGCTGTCTCTGTGAAGAGGCAAGAAACCATATTTAACAGAGGCCATACAGGAGATTGATATGATCATTATATTGTATTTCTAGCAATTATTTTCCTCAACGCCCTCATGTTTGGGGGGATTTTCATGAAGGACACCTTTAGAGATCCTCTAAACCGAAAGAGGTGGGATATAAAAACAGAGCCTTAAGAAGAAAAGAAAGAAAGAACGTGGATCTGATCTTCTTGGAACATCTGTGTAAACCTGACATGGCTGCACAGTGTGGATGATGGGACCTTGCTGGTTGTTGGTTTCTGGCCAAAGTCTATCCTACCACTTTCTGGTACCATGGCATCAGCTTTCATGGACTAGATGCACTTTATGAGAAAATGCATGTATTGTACCACCGTCTGATTGGCCAAACGCTCTAGTGAAAGAGTTTGTTACTATAACTGGGATAATATTTAAAATGATGTAAGAATCTGTTGTCAATGAATGGGTCAACATTTCTTGACAATATTTCTTGAGGTTATCAGAAACTGATGTTCATGCTTCTCTTAGTTCAGTGCTTTTTTTACTTCGTCAGGGGTATAAAGTTGAGGAGGGAGTAGTCCCCCAACAACAAACCCGGCCGCGCGGCCCGGGAGGGGGCGCGGGGGG